CGAGTCAAAGCCCGGAGGGCCCCCAACCCACGGCCTCACTGGAGCACGCGGGGCTGGCCGAGGTAGCCCGGAAGCTGAGGCCAGCAGGGCCTGCCGTCTGTGGCGTTCACCCCTCCGCTGCCACCCGGGTGACAATGAAAACACCTCCCGGTACCGGGGCCCGGTCCTCGGACACCATCTAGGTTGACTGGACCTGGGCGTCCCCCACGCGCCCACTGGTGGGGCGGGAAGTGAGGCGCCCGGCAGGAAGAGGGAGGGCAGGGCTGCAGACACGCGGCCGGCCCGGCCCCAGGCCCGCTCACCGGTCGTAGTCTCCGTTGCAGAGGGCTCTGACGGGGGTGGAGAACGTCTGCCACACGGGGTTCAGGGTGCTCTTCACGACCTCGGTCTTGTGGCAGATGGTGAATCTGAGGGGAGGGGAACAGGAGCCAGGCTGGAGCCGTGGGATGGAGGAGACGGCTGGGTGACAACGCTGCCGCCACGGATGGGAGACCACAGCTCCGAGGGACAGGCCTGGTGCGGGCAGCAGCCGGGCTGAGGTCAGACGACTGCAGGGAATGCTGGTGGCCTAGGTGCCCTGAAGTCGCAGGTGAGATGGGTGCCCGGGCCGTGTTCGTTGGCCGCTGTCCCTGTCTTCACCCCACCTTGACAGCTTCTCCCTCGCCCTGCTACAGCAGGTGCCACCTCCCTCGGCGCTCCCCGACGACACTGCCCAAGACTCACGCCCTCGGCCCTGCCTGCCACACCTCTGGTTTCCTTCCATACTTTTTCTGTTTCATGCGTCACCATTTGACATGTTGACGCTCTATTTTTTCCTTATTTATTCTTTTCATGATCTGTCACTGAAATGTAAGCTCGGCAAGAACAAAGACTTTTTTGTCTTTTTCTAGCCAAGGTCTCACCATCCTCCTGCCTCAGCTTCCTGGATGCTTGAATTACAGCCATGTGACCCCCTGGCCAACGAGTTTTCTCTTCTTCAATCACCGTTATGTCTCCAGTGCCTGGCACTTGACAGATATTCAAGACTTTTTCTAAATAAAGGAACCAATAATAAATGTATTTCTCAGGGGTTTTATAGCCTGCCTTGGCATTTTTCTTTTTCAGTTTTTTGAAACAGGGTCTCACTATGTAACCCTCACTGTCCGCTAACTTGCTGTTGTTCTCCTGCCTCAGCCTCCTGAGTGCTGGCATTTCAATCCAGTGAAATCACAGCCCTGACACGAGGATCTCTAGGATCCTAGCTCTTTCCCGGCTGTGCCACCCTGGAGGATGAAAGCCAGCACCCGGCACCCCCACGCCGCCAGCTGGCCACGTCTCGGAAGCCACCCTGCCACAGGGGTGGGCACACGACCCAGTGCCGCCCAGCCGGGAAAAGTCACTGGGTGAGGGCTGGGCCCGCCTCTGCCCACGCAGCCTGTGCCACTTCTTCTCTCGCGGTGTTGGAGTCAAGATGTCATTCTGTCACCGGGGCTCAGCGTTCTTCTTCCCTGCTCCTCCTCGCCCACCTGTGGGAGCGGAGATCCTCCCCCGAGGCCTCCCCGCCAGGCACAGGCACAGGCAGGCACAGGAGGCGCGTTGGGGCGTGGACCCTGCCCACCCAGCCGTCAGCCTGGCCCCTCCCTCCATGTCCTTCCTGTGCCTGGGGCAGCCTGGCTTCCTCTTTTGCCTGGAACTGTGTTCTTTAAACTCCCCTGAGCCACTGTCCCCAAGCCCCGGCCTCGCCATCTCCCGAGCCAGGCCTCCCTCGGGAGCTGAGAAGTTGGGGGGCAGCGCGGGTGCAAAGACTGCCACCTGTCAGACAGATGTGACCCTGCTCCCGGGCTGCTGCATGCCAGCTGTGCATCCCCGGACAAGCGTCTTTCCCTCTCTGGGCACCATTCTCTCACTGTGAAGCGGGGATCACTAACGCTGCCCAGCACCGAGAGGAGCCACCTCCCGCTGGACACAGCGAACGCACTCGCAGAGTGGTCAGCGCTGTGCTGTCCACGATGGCGGCCACAGTGGCTGCTTAAATTTAATGAAGGCGATATTGAATGAAAATGTGGTTCTGTGGCTGCACCTCCCACACCCTGGGCCCAGCGGCCACCCAGGGGCAGCGGTGACATCCCGGGTCCTGAGGGCTGCACTGGGTTCCGTGGGGCTGAACTGCCCAGCTCCGCAGCAGTGCCTGAGTGCCCCGTCTCCTCCTGTCCCTGGGGCGTCGCCATGTCCCCTGTGACAAGGTGGTGCCCCTTCCTTCTGGCCTAAGATCCTCTCTCTCAGGCCCTCCTCCACCTGCCGCTCGGATCCGTTTCTGCAGGGCCCTGCAGGGTCCCCTGGGATTCAGTATCCCCGCTCCCCAGGACAGCTCCACATGAAGTCCCACAGCCCTTCTGCCCTTTGCCGTTCCCGAGCTGTCACCAGGGAGGACCTGGACCTCAGACGGGGCTGGGGACTCGGCCTCCCGCCCCTCAGCGGCCCCTCCAGCTGCCGGTCGCCCTCCTAGCCCTCCTGCCACCCAGAGGGGACAGCAGTGGCTGCCGGTCGCCCTCCTCGCCCTCCTGCCACCCAGAGGGGACAGCAGTGGTTCTCCTCCCCCTCCCCTCCTCCTCCCCCACTGCAAGCCCCGGGGAAGTCAACGAGAATTATTTAAAGCAGCCCCGCCTGGAGTCCTCCAGGGAGACAAAGAATCTTTTTGTCATGCAAATGATCGCACCTATTTTCCCCCAGTTTTGCAGCTCCGGTTTAAGAATCAGCGCTCCTGGGAGCCGAAGTCTCCTCCCTGCCACTGTCACCCGCACGCGCACTCACACCCACGTGCTCTGCACTTCCGAACCCGGGAGCACACACTCCCCACTCGGGGACCCGGCCCCCCAAGGCCGCTTCCCAGCCCCTCCAGTTAACCTCCCAGGCCCTGCACGTCCTCCTCCCCGAGTCCCGAACCTTGGAGACCACGAGTTCCTTTGGTGGGAGAACAAACAAGCCCAGAGAAGGGGCGCAGCGTGCTGGGGTCGCACAGCGGGTTAGCAGTGGGGCGGAGTCTGCGAGCGGCCCCACACCGCCCCCCAGGGCTGTGTTCCCGTTACGGCTGCCCAGCTGCGCGGCAGCAGTGGGGTCCTGACCAGGAGGTGGGGACAGGGCTGTCCTGATTAGTGCCATGAACGGCCCTTCACTCCTGCCCACTGCCCACAGGCCAGGCACCCACCCGACCACAATCCCCACCGTGCTTCGGCGGCTTGGAGGCTGCCCCGCCCCTGACCCCGGTTCTCCAGCAGGACGCTGGGGGGCGCTAGAAGCAGACCCCGGCCGCAGCCACAGGGCCCATCCCTGCCTGACGGTGGTGCAGGCGGCACAGCACTCACGTTCCATCCTCGTTGCTTCGATAGAACACCAAGAAGGGGTCGGACTTGCCGAAAAAATCCTTCTTGTCCAGCTTGTTGGCACAGAACTGCATGGTGGCCACGTCCTGGTGGAGAGGGAGGGGGACGGGCCGTGAGGTGGGGAGGGGGAGCAGCAGAGAACCCAGGGAGCCCAAGGATCCAGGCATCGCTGCGGTCTTCAAGCCAGCTCCACCCTGAACTCCAGGATCCTCCTGCCTCAGCCTCCCAAGTACTAAGATCACAGGCGTGTGCCACCACTCCTGGCTCACAGGTACCCCGAGAAGGGCGCTGACAACCATGATCCCAGGACCGTTCTGCTGAGCGCCTCAGGGAGGTGAATGTGACCGGAGGCCACTCTGCTGGTCCTGAGGCCCCAGCTGTCTTCTCGGCCACCCCTCTGTGCACACTGGGGTGGTTCCGGCGAAGAGCCACCCCCATGTCCCCTCCACGTGTCCCCACCACACCCAACAGAGGCTCCCAGGGGCACCGCAGGGACCTGGGCCCCGTTTACAGCCAAGAGGCTATGCTCAGAGCAGGGGCAGCGTCCCACACTCACCAGGTGCCCACCTGCTGCCCCCCAGGCCGGGCCGCTGCTGCAGTGGAAGAGAAGGTGGCCCGGCCTGGTGAGGACGGCGGGCAGCCCCGGGCACACTGTGGCCTGGCTGTCGCATCCTCCCCATCCTCCCCATCCTCCACGGAACATATCTGGGCCGCCAGCCCAGGGTCGACTCCCCGCTGCCATCCCCAGGCCTGGCCTGGGGTGCAGCGGTACAATGGCTGGTGTGGCTGCTGGGCCTGCTGCCTGCCTCAGCGCCGCTCCTCACCAGCTGTGTGATCGGGGCAGGTCACTCGCCCTCTCTGGGCTTGGTGTCCTCATTTGTAAACCAGGGGCCGCAGCACACCTGGGGCATGAGGGTAAAGCCAGCTGAGAAGGAGGGTGCTGGCCAGAACTGTGGACGCTTCTCCGCCCCTCCCTGGGCGCCTGCCCCACCGTACCCGCAGCAGCACGGCCCCACAGGACCTCTGAGGGCGGCGAGCAGACCCGCACTTGGTCGTCTGTCCGAGCTGCAGCAGGGCTGGAGGAGGGGACCTGGCCCCATCCTGGCTGGGGAAACTTGATCTCCCAGCCCTGCCCTCGGCCCCATAGCACCCCGTGGGGTGCAGAGCCCGGGACGCAGCGCCCTGCTTCCTGTCCACACTGTGGGCGCCACCAGTGTTCCCGACTGCAGTGCCCAGAGGTAACCAGTGACCTTGGGAGTTGGGGCTTCCCGGGCTGGGCTGGTGTCAGCACATCGGCGCCTCCGCTCTGGTCCCCTTGACAGAGGAGGACGCTGAGGTTTTAGGGCCACACCACTGCCAGAGTAGCACAGGGAAGCCCCAGGCAGTCCCTGCAGCCTCCACTCTCCCGTCCAGAAACAACCTGGCTCCAGGCACCCCATGCCTCCCTGGGGCTTCCCAGGGCACAGGGGCAGGGGCCTCGTTCAACCAGAATGACCTTCAACAGTGTCAACCCAGGTGTGGTGACCACAGCTTCCAGCTGCACCCCAGAGACCCTGGAAGGGACAAGGCGGGCCGGGAGCTGGGAGCAGCAGGAGATCAGCTCCGGATCCAGGCCCAGCTCAGCCCCCAGGGAGCAGGCTGCTGGGGCTGCCAGCATCACCAGCCCAGGCGACATCTTACCTGGAGACCTGCTCTGCCCAGCCGGACCCCAGTATTGTACCCAGCAGCCCTCTGGGTTGGGGTCAGACTCAGGGTCCTGACAGCCCCTGAGCCTGCCGGGAAGGATTTGGGAGATGGCAGAGGCTAAGTCCTGGTCCACCGTGCCTATGTGGACAGCTGGGAGAAGAGGGGCTGCCAGGGCAGAGTGCCACCTGCTACTGGGCTGAACCGCAAGAAATTGCTAATCATCAACTATTTTCTATGAAAATGGCAATATTGCCTGCCTGGCACAGTGACACAAGCCTATACCTCCAGCACTCAGGAGGCTGAGGCAGGAGGATCCCTGTGAGTTCAAAGCCAACCTGGACTACCCAGTGAGACTCGTGTCTCAAAATAAAACAGAACAAAAACAAACCAAAAGTCAGTATAATAGGGCTCTACCTGAGGTGTGCCAGCCATTTTTCTATTTATAATTCACTTAATCTTTCCAACAACCCCATGAGGTGGGTAGTGTTAGTATTCCCATTTTAAAGGAGGGAAAATCGAGGCACAGAAAGGTTTGCACTCTTTCTCAAAGAAGCCACACAGCCAGGGAGTGGCTGGGGCTGGGACGGGAACCAGTCGGTCTGGCTCCAAGGGGAATCCCTGGGAAGCTACATGATCACCCCCAATCATCGAGATGAGTTTAATTATGTTTTGCACCCTCAGTCGGAGAAGGCAGGGAAGTGTGAGATCCAGTTAGCAAGGCCTCCGTGCAGACTGATTAAAATTAAAATGAAATTAAATAAAAAGATGGGCTCTGAAATTCAGATCACTGGGGGAAAGAAAATCCCCCGGTATGCGACAGAGAAGAGAAGCTTCCTGGGGGCGGGAAGCTCGGCCTGACCGCCCCCCACAATAACCTAGTCCCAGGGGCGGTCACTACCTACCCCACAGGACCCACAGGGACCGGAGGAGCCTCCCCTGGGCCCGGCCCTCTCCAGGGCTCTGTTCCATTTGGTCTGTGGTGCTGGGCGGGACCCAGGCCCACATCGCCACCTTGCTGGGCAAGGCTCTACCCTGCACCCCGGCCCGTGGCTGTGCTTCTGGGGGCCTGAATCACAGCAGCAGCCACAGGAGCGGGCGCCCCTGGCTCCCATCAGGCGCAGTCCCCCAACGAATGGCTCAGACCCTCGCTGCAAGAGTGAGCCTTAGACCAAGACCCGTCGTGTAAAGGCACAAGATGCCAAGGGTGAACGCACTGTTCTGTGTATCTAAAACGTACCAGGAAAGATTCAATTTATAAAAACAAAGAAAGAGTGATCCTGAGCGGAGGCGGGGGAAGAGGGACCCAGGGGACCGAGAGCCCAGCCAGCGGCCAGCCGGGTGCCCGGGAACCAGTCAGGCCTGTGAGGGGCTCGGGTGGTCATGAGATGCACCGCAAACCCACGGCTCTGAGGGAAGCAGCGGGGGAAGACAAAGCGGCTCCCGCGATGTGTAATTTCCTGCAATTTCTGCCTTTCACCCTATCTTTTTAAAATATTAAATTCTTCTAAGACATCAGGATTGCTTCTCTGTGCATCTTTCCGCATGTTAATCGAGCTTCCTAGGAGATGGTGGCAGTCCCCTCCCCCGCTTCCCTCCCTTCTCCTCTCCCCCTCCAGG